ATATATGTGTGTGTGTGTGTGTATGTACTATATTTCTACGTATGCGCGCATACGCATATGTATTTGGGGTGTACATGTGACGCAGTGCCCTTTCCGATGTCCCAGCACTTACAGATACCTCACTACAGGTTTTCCTGAAGCTTGCGTGCGGAGCCTTTGCCTTATGCGCGTCGTCGGCTCGAGTCTCACACCTTTACGTTTCACCATCTGAGCAGAAGTCTCCCCAAGTGTCCCCAAGGCTAGGGTGTCCGGCCGTGGGGGGTTTTGAAGGCTTTACCAAGCACCATCCAGCACAGCGCACAGGCATCAGGACGACCCCAGACCAGCAAGTTCTGGACCCAAACGCCGAGGATCAGCTGCACGTCCACCGAACCTCGACGTCGCCCCTCGCCCAATTCCGGAAGTTTGCAATGCCATGGCCTCTGTCCTGCCGAGCACGCCGCTTAGCTGCGCCTATCAGAGTGCTTCGGCCATCGAGTCCAAGGATGAGGACCTGGGCTGGGTCCGTAGACGTACCTATAGTCTCCATTGTAGTTACTTTTTTTGGGGTTTAACCAATTATATATTAAGGGTTTTATAAGGTATCCCCGAAAAGGAACTACAATGGAGACTATAGGTAGAAGCCAAGCTCTATATATGCTGGAATCCTACGCTCCAAACCCCATAATACTTGAGCACAAAAACCTGAACAATGCAAAGCAAAGAATTTAACGCAGAGGACGGCTTAATGTAACCTCCTTTCTTTGAAGAAGAAAATGATGGCAGGGATCTTCATATTCAGATGCCGGGTTAACAAACCTAAGCCCGAACTCTTAACCTTAAAGCCCTCTGATGGAAGCCACCAGGGACATGACAGGGACATACACGGCGAATCATAAGATCTGAATTTCCGGTTTCAGGGTTGCCTCTTCATGTGTCACCAAAGGAACCCCTAGCCCCCAACCCGTTGGGCCCTAAAGCCATAAGGGAGCACCAAGGAACGTGAAACCCCAGCCCCCAGAAACCTGAATCCCTGAAAGGAGCACGACGAAGCCTCAGCACAAAAGTCCTTTGGTGCCTCAGAGCCTTATGAAACCTCATGGAACTTTTCGACAACATGGGTTCAATTCAATAACAGCCGAATACCACCTCTTTCAAACCGTCATAGAGAATCCTTGTGGAATTTCTCACGCACACACACACACACACACCCCATGAAGCTGTACTAGATAGAATCTGTTACACCTCCGTATGCGACCGTTGCAGCCTTGGCTTGTAAGCCCTCGTGAAGCCCTACAGCAGCCCTCTGAAAACCTGTATTTCGAGCTGTAAGGAGCCTGACAAAACAGTCTGTGCATAACCTCTCAGCCCTCAACCCTCAAATGTGCATCAACCCCAAACCCGGAGGCATGGACCCTAAACCCTGAAATCCTAAACCCTGCAACCCTGAATCCTGAAACCCTGACCCTTCTACTGCCCTAACAGATCACTTAAACGGAACCCTGAAAGGAACCCATTAGGAGCCCTTTAAGGCTCCTTAACCGGGGTGTGGTTGCCATCTCGAAAAAAGGGACCCTCCCAATGGGGCCCTGGGCTTTTGCAGCGAGTTGAAGGATCCAGGGACCTGCTGGGGGCCCGATTTGGTGGATGCCCTTCTGCCTTGCCTGTCTGGCAGGTTGATGTAAAAAGAAAACCATGGTAAACCCGAAAAAGGAATAGGTTTGGGTGGTTTGGCCGCCTCAGACGGCGTGGGGTGGGAGAGAAAAAGGAAAGAGCCATGGGGCTCTAGCGGCGAATCGTAATGCTACGACGCACTCGAAATTACACTATCGCGAGGTCTTTAGCTTATGCACCACTCTACGGCAAACCCTAAACCCTAAACCCTACCGCCTGAAGTTTCATCGCTTGCAGGAGCTCGGCCCACCCGCCAGTGCTAGCGACGAAACCGCGCCTCGGCACAGTTGGGTCATTCCTGGAAAGATTCGGGGTTTACATAGGGGGTTTTAGGGTTTCGGGATTTCGGGCTTTAGGAATGTCGCAGTCTCCGCGATCACATGGGTGCTAACAGCCCCTATGCCTGGTCAAAGAGTCTAAGCGGATTTGCCGTGGTCGTCGTCATTCTTTCTCGTCCTCGGCATCACGGAATCGTGGATGCAACAGCAGCATGGAAGTCATGATAGTAGCTGCGAGAAGAGTAGTCGGAGCAGCAGTGCAAACCCGGGACATTAGCAAAAGTGGGCCCAAGGGCCATACCAGAAATGATCGTGCAGATTGTGAACCAACCGCTGCGGCTATACGCCTAGTGGTGTTCACATATGTCATCCCCCTAAGAAATCCAACTGGAGCCACAGTACCAATCGTTGCCGCAATGTTAAAGCAGCATGTAGAATTCTCGACACAAGTTACGCCAGCTGCAGGAGGCTAGATGACAAGGTAAATGCGGTTTCTGACAAACATGTCAGAATATTCAGAGAAATAGTAGCTATCGCAGCAATGATAGCAGCAATGCCAGTAGCTGTCAAGATAGTAGCCGCTCAAGAACTGCAAGCGTCGTGATGATGCCGATGGTCGCGATCCTTCTCAAGAAGTAGTGACAATAACTGACTGTTGTATGAATAGAGAGGCAACAAATGCAGGAGCAGCAGTCAGTACCATAGTCGCGACATGTGATTGAAGAGTCGGATGCATTAGGCCAGCATGACCAATGTGATATTACGCACAGTGAGATCACAGAGCTGCAGACTGGCAGGTAGGAGCAGTCGGACTGCGAACTGCAGAGCAAGACTAAAGTTGCTCTCGTGTAACTCAGGTTTTCATCTACTAGTCGTAGTCTTGAGTTCTGCCAGTGACTGACTGTTGATGCCTGAACTTGCATCTGCCAAGGATACCTCGGACCAAGATAGCGACGAGGACAGATGAATTGAAACCTGCACCAGTAGCAGTGCCGCCTTTCACACGGCACTCGACATGTTATTCAGCGCCAGCGTCAAAGCCACGAGCCGCAGGCATCTCTGTGACGATGGAAGAGTAATGGAAGAGGGAGAGCGCACCCCAAAGTGAAGCTTGTGTTTCTTCAGCAAAGCCCAGACTGTCCACTGTCCAGAATCCAAGCTTCCTCCACTGCGCAGGAGGATACTTCGGACAGCCCTTCCTCACCGGCATGCAACATGACCCGCGGCATCCACGATAGTGCTGGGGCATGTGATGTAATGTCGTAAGCAGAACCCAGAGAGTCGTCATGCCGTAAGAATTAATGTTCAGTTCTCTACACTATTTCGGGCTTCTTGCTATGATACCTCTGGATATCTGCACATCCTCGGCTCACTGGGAACATCCGTAACGATGCTGACAATCATCACGCCAATGGAGTTTGCTGCTGATGTGCGGGGATCTGATTGAGCGCAGTGCCGAAGATGCCTCGGAACAGGGTTTACGCTTTAGGGTTTAGGGTTTAGGGTTTAGGGCTTGCGGAAAGCATCCAGAGAGGTCCCGGTGTGCAACCTGCACCAAAGCCCTATGCTAATGATCAAGGCCCCCATACTTGATATTGGGGCCGGGGCGCTTATTCATATCATTTCTCAGGGTTCCTTAGCATTGTTATAGTATACTTTATAACATAATCCCCTAAACCCTAAACCCTAAACCCATACTTTGCATTGTGCGGTTGCCGAAGCAAAGCTCCCCTGGACAGGCGTCGAAGCCGAGTGCCGTTCCAGAAAAGGTGTTGCTTACCGACTGCCCGTCCCACATAATGCAATCATCCAAACATAGGCGTCTCGATAATTAGAATAGGGTTTGGGGTATACTATACTATGATTATAGTAAGGCGGTTTGAGGGTCACAAGCACTTCAAGCCACTTTAGAATCGTGTTCCCCCAAAACTCCATTCGAATTATTAAGTCCCATACATTAGCATATTCAACAGATGCGGGGCTCAGGAGACTAACGAAGAGTGGGACTCCCTAGTGTCAAGATCACCAACAGATTCCTCGATCCTGGGTTTAGGGTTTAGGGTTTAGGGTTTAGGGTTTAGGGTTTAGGGTTTAGGGTTTAGACCATCTGTCCCTAACCCTAAACCCTAAACCCCTGAAGCGAGCAAGCTTTCTGCGGAGAAAGGGGGCTACTGCACTTGAAAAAACTGTAAACCCCTAAACCCCTAAACCCTAAGCCCAGGATGCGTGTCAACGATGATTTTGCAGACGATTGCTCCGACAATTTCTTAGGCTCGCCGATCTTTCGGACTTCGGGGTCCTTTTACGCGATTTGCCAACCAAGGCTCCTTGACGAGGTTCTTATATTCGTAGCCCAATGGTCGTCCTCACGGGTCGGGAAGTGGGAGGGGAGAGCGAAGGGCGGAGAAGGACAAGCAGTCGTCGTCGTCGTCGTCGTCTAAGGGCAGTTGCAAGAGTCCTATAGACCCAAAGCCGTATCCTAAGTTAAACCCTAAACCCCCCACAAAAAAAACCCAAACCAGTAGACCCAAAGCCCAAACCACAAAAACCCCAAACCATTAAACCCTAAGCCCTAAACCCTTGGGGCCATCGTCTTGCGCGGGCTTCGGCCGCAGTCGGCTCTGCGCAGAAAAATTGACCTGGCTTGGCTCAGCAGCGGAAGAACCGTAGCATCCAAGCTTTCTCGGAGAATGTAATGAAATACATCATCTACAGTGTATAACTATATAATGTCCAGTAATATATCCCATACAGTATATAATTTAGGAGTTTAGGATCTGGATCTTAAGGTAGTATAAACTACAAAGGTTTGATACGGGATTGGGGTTTAGAGAGAATGCTTCGGGCTGTAAGCCAGGAAACAGCAGAAAAAGCTCGAACCTCAACAGTCAACCCTCAACCCTTACACCCCCTCGTGTTCACGCACAGACCGCACATCTAGTTTGCATGTGGCCCGTGGTCCCCGAATCCGTGACGGGTCAGCTTGGGATCAGCTTGCTTGATGAAAAGAGAGCAAGCCTTCCGGGCTTGTGTGGAAGATGCCGAGGTCTGCAGCAGTAGACCTGTGCAATGCTTGTCGCCCTCGCCGTGCTGGTTTTGCTGTCGGCCGCCGCAAGCCCCAATCCTCATGGCGAGACGCCAGCAGAGCTGGAGGTGGCCAGGGAGAGGCGCGGCCAGTTGCTTCTCACAGGGATGTGGCACGTGTCCCCTATGTATGTTGAAGGATATATCATAACATAGTATACCATTGCATACTGTAACGTAAGATAATGGAAATATGATATTTTTCCGATAGACTCAGAATGCTCTTTTACTGACTTAGACATCATGCTCGCAGATCGCCTTCTTTAACACCTGAGGCAGTGTGCCAGGAGTTCCCGGTGTTCCAATGCGTGTCATGAGGGCTGGGTCGCAGATCATGGCAACACTGGGTTTAGTGTTAAGGGCGCTGTCTCATCGAAAGAGAGTGCCTTTCAACCCAAGTCTCCGCTGGACCCTAAGTACTCCTCTATTCGGTGGAAGGATGCTTAAATATCGGAATTAAAAAATCTAATTATAGAATTCTAACATAAAGAGGTTCAATATCGATAGTTTTCATTCTAATATTTTAGTAATATGGAGCCTTATGAAGCCCTATGACATCGTGTAGTAGCCTTGGGCTGTTTTGAGGCCCGGGCTGCAGAATCTCGAGCTTGGGATTCTGCGGCAGCTCCTCTTTGAGCTTTTGGCACCTTGGACTCTTTTTTGGGTTTCCGAGAGTGCCTATGGGGCCTTCTTCCCTTCTAGGGATGCTAGGAATAAGGATTCCGTTCTTTTGTGGAGATTCTGCTTACGGGTTGCTCGCTCTCTGAAACTCTTACATCGCGTTCTGGGGTTTCAGTGGGAGTTTTGTGATTTTGGGGAGTCTCGGGTGAGGGTTTGCAGGGTGTTGGCATTTTTGGGTTCGGGGTCTGAGGCCTGAGGGGTCTGGAGTTCAGACGCGTGTTTATGCGCGTTTTGGGGGCCATTTGGGGCTTCTAAGGTTTAGGGCTTTGGGGAGTAGGTGTTCAGGCCTGTGAAACCAGGTGCGTGATGCTGTTGCTACCTTCAGCTGGCTTATCAGGTCCAGCATGGCGATGACATGAAACAACGACAACAGCGACAACAACAACAACAGCAGCAACAACAACAACAACAACAACAACAACTACTACTACTACTACTACTACTACTACCACTACTACTACTACTACTACTACGACGATTACGACGATTACGACGATTACGACGACGACGACGACTACTCCTACCACTACTGCTACCACTACTACTACTGCTGCTACTACTACTACTACTACTACTACTACAACTACTACTACCACGACGACGGCGGCGGCTACCACTACCACTGCTACCGCTACCCCGAACCCACGGTTCTTTACTTTTCGGGGTTCCTTACAGGGCTCCTTATTGGGTTCTATAAGGGATCTATAGGACGTACACCGGTCCTAAACCCTAAACCCTAAACCCTAAACCGTCGGTGTGGCTGCCAAGGCAGTGAAGCAGCTCCGTCCACCTGACGGCAATGAAAACATCAGTTTCCAGGAGCCGAGATTTCACTGAGCCGGGTCTGCTGGTTTGGGGTTTGGGGGTTGAGGGTTTCGGGGTTTAGGGTTTAGGGTTTAGGGTTCAGGGGTTTGGGGGTTTGGGGGTTTAGGAGTTTGGGTTTAGGGTTTAGGGTTTAGGGGTTTGGGGGTTGAGGGTTCAGGGGTTGGGGGGTTTAGGGTTCAGGGGTTTGGGGGTTTAGGGGTTTAGGGTTTAGGGTTTATGGTTTATGGGTTTAGGGTTGGGGTGTAGGATTTAGGGCTTGAGGTGTTTCTGGGGTTTTGGGGTTTCGGTTTTAGGGTTTTGGAGTACAATTTGGTTTGCGATTGCAAGTCTTTCGAAGTGACTCTAGCTGTGCTGGTGCATCATCCCAAGTTCAGGTATCCCCAAACCCTAAACCCTAAACCCGAATAGATCCTAATCTACAGTTACAACAACAGCTACATCAACCACAATCTCGGTGCTTGTTCAGGGCCTCTGAGTGTAGTGTCGCTTGCTCCAGAACTATGGAGCATAGCAGTTTGGCAGCCAGCTTGAAACCAAAGCCTGCAGGGTTCACGAAGCCGTTTCCAAAACCTAGAATTGAGAAGAGCTTGGTGTAGCATGGTCGAAAAGAAACCGGCTCCGCAATAGGGGGATTTAGCCGTAGTTTCCGTGATCTCACTCGTGCAACAGTAAGAACAGTACTTGTAGTGGCAACAAGACGAATAGCCGGCATGAGTTCTAGTTATAGTTTTAAATGCATCGCAACGTAACCCTCCCCGAAATCCGAAAACTTGGGCCTCAAAATTCAGAACGCTAAACCCTTGACCCAGGAGATTGCCTCGAAGCTGTGGAAGGGGCTGCTTAGAGCCTTGATCTGTTTGATTTCGGATTCTCTTCACCGGCGTGTTAAGTCCATGTAGGGTTGTAGTGCATTTCATGGGTTGCTATAGGGTTCCATGGCTTGAGTGAAGTATGCAACCTGCATCATAGCAAGAAAGTCCGCCCTTCGGAACATTCGTTCGAAGGAGAATGTTGGTTTGCGGATGCTTCACGGCAAGCTACCTCGCGCAAGTAGTTGCTTTGAGCAGCTGGGCGACACCCCGGATCGTGGCAAGCGCTCCGCAGGCTGTCCTTCTCGTGCCATAGCAACTGCAAGGGAACAGAACATGTGCTCCCATCTTGTTTTAGAAGCATCAACGTCCAACGGAGGAATGCAAGACCGGTTGTGGCAGTTGGCCATCGACACCAACATAATGCCGGAGTCGGTGCAGGACACGGGCGAGCTTGCAGGCTCGGGATGCCAACAAAGATTGTTTCGCGGTTAGGGCTTGCTTCAGGGTTTAGAGTTTAGAGTTTAGGGTTCAGGGTTTAGGATTAAGGGTTTAGGGTTCAGGGCTTAGGGTTTAGGGTTTAGGGTTCGGGGTTGTGTTTTTTTTGGATGAGAGTTTTGGGCTGAGGGCTTCTTTTCAGGTTTCAGGTATGGGTTTAGGATGTCGGATGTAGAGTCTCATTTCAGGGTTCAGGTTGATTGCACTGAAATCCCCAGCAACATCTCAGAATCCTTTGTCATCCTTCCCTTGGATCCACCAAAATCCCAAAACACGCAAACTCTTCCTAAAAAGCCCCACTAAACCCTGAAACCCCAAAAAACCCAAACCCTTCCGAGAAAGATCAGTTTGCCTTCCGTTCCTGCCTACCGTGGCTGCCTGGAGGCCCACATGGAATGTTGGCCTGGGAGTCCGCTGCATCAAGAGTAACAGCTACTATGCTACTAGTGATGCTATCCTGAACCCTAAACCCTGAGGTGCTTACAAAAAGCGCTAGACCCTAAACCCTAAACTTCCAAACCTTAAACCCCTAAACCCTAAACCCCTACACCCTAAACCCCTAAACCCTAAACCCTTAACGCCCAAACCCTAAGGTAAACCCTACGCCGGAAGACCAGATCCGCAGACACGATTTGAGTACTCCGGAAACCAGCAACCGAAGCGCCCTGGGTCCTCATTTGGGAACGTATCCTCGGATAGCCCTCGTACCATAATATACCCCGAAACTCAATTCCAAACAAACAAGGCTACTAGATTACTGCCCAAGCCCTAAACCCAAAGCCTAAACTCTTGAACTCCTAAGCCCGAAACCCCTAAACCTTAAACCCTGAACTCCTAAACCCCTAGACCCCCAAACCCCTTAACCCTAAACTCCTGAACTCCTAAACCCCGAACCCCTAAACCCTAAACCCCTAAACCCCAAACCCTAAACTCTCAAACTCCTGAACTCCTAAACTGCATCTGAGATTTTTCGGCCTGCGGCAGCGGGTGATCGACTACCTGGGATCCAGGGCCGAAAACGAAAGATCTGCCCAGGCGGCGAGGATCGGAGAGCCCCTGTGCCGGAAAGCAGGGCCCCTTCGTAGGGTTCCTTAAGATGATTTAGGGTTTAGGGTATAGGGTTGAGGGTTTAGGGTGTAGGGTTTAGGGTTTAGGGTTTAGGGTTTAGGATAGAAGGTTTAGGGTATGGGTTTAGGACTCATATGATAAAAGTGTACCATAGCAATACTATTCCTTAGGGTTCCTTAGCAATACTATTCCTCTATACGGTTGTTTAATGCCGTTATGCTATACTAGTACTATTCCTAAGGGTTACTATGAGGGAGAGACACGCGGCGGCACCTTTGTTTTGGATTCAAGGTTGAAGCGTTTAGGTTTGTTTGTTTCGGGGGTGTTGTCTTTCACACATACCACCTCAGCCAGATATCTAAGCCGCACGTCCTAAAGCCTACAGTCCAAAATCCTCTTTCTTATAGCAACCCTTAGGACCTTAGGAATAGAATTCGTATAGCATACTTAAATTACAGAACCTAAAGGAATGATACTGTTATAACATGATGGGTGTATTGACTGACTTGCAGCCCTCCACCTCAACCCTTGGCCAAGCATTCAGAAGATCTTACGGCATCCGGCTCCCAGCGTTTGTTGCTTCTTTAGTGTTTAGGAATCCGGGTTTGGGGCTCAGTGACTTCGCACTTAGTGGGATAGAGACTCAAACCACGAACTAGACTAGGGTAAGGGGGGCTTATATACGATGTCAAATTATCTTGTGAGAACGTCAAGAGATTTTCGACTACGTCTTCAGGCAACCCCCCAACCTGACAAACCTAGGCATTGGGAAGCGGTACGGGAGCTGGCGACAGCGCTGACCGCCAAGGCCTTCACCAACTCAATCTTTTAAGGGTTCAGGGTTAAACTTCAAAATTGGTCCTGGTACTCTTCCTTTGGCAGTACATCCGAAATTTTAGAGCCGTCACCCTGAAGTTACGATAAGGGCTGCGAGGGGTCAGTTAACAGTTTTTGTATGGGTTCTACAAGGGGAGCTGTAGGGGTTACGGTCGTGTCTCTACGGAAATCGGAGAGAACAGGCTTCCGTCGATGGTCGGGCAGACCTGCGCGATCTCGCAGCGCTGCGAGCTTTGGACGATGCTTGCCTTGCACAGAATTATGGGGAGGCTGACAGGTGGGTCGACAGCACACCTCTGCCATACAGCCCCATATGCCATAATGCAGTCGGGTCGCTTCGCAAGGCCCGAAGCCAGTTTGTTGGCTCTTTCTGTAAGCACAATAGAAATGTGTGCAGAAGCACAGAAATTTGATGCACGAAGGTGGTTTGCCGGCCTTCCAGCCGCAAAGGGGCACAGGCTAAGCCAATCATCTCGTTGCCTTTGATTGGGTTCTTAGCACCGCCTCATACTGACCTTTGCCCTTTACCCTAGAGCCCTGGAGTAAAAGCCCAAAAGTTGGAAACCCAATAGCTTCAAACCTTAAGAGGAATGTATAGGGAATTTCAGCACCAACTGTCCTTAATCTGGTTTCCAAGATTTTTGGAGTTTACCCTAAACCTAAACCCTAAAACCCTAAAACCTAAACCCTGGTCTCAGGCCGCAAGCAGAGAATCACAGTTAAAACGGCCCAGAGCTTCGGGACTTAGGAGTTAGGGATGGAGGTTCAGGCTTTAAGGCTTCAGGGTTGTGGGTTTAGGTTTTTTTGGGGGTTTAGGGGGTTTAAGGGCTTTTTTGGTGTTTAGGGGGTTTAGGGGGTTTACGGTCTAGGTCCCTGGTTTAGGGACGAACTTCAGGATCTCTGGGTTTCGCCTCCCCACGTTCGGTTCCGAGGACGTGGGGCTGCGTGAGCTGATTGCGCTGATGCCGGCGCTGGCTGCTGGATCCTGGGTCCTCTTTCATGGTGTTAAGTGTTAAGGGTGGTGCGCGTTCTTCCCGTAAGAGTTCTTTGAGGGTTTGTTTACAGTGGTTCTGTGGGTTTCTGTGGGGTTCTGTGTCCCCATTCGTGCCCTTATGCCCTTTGTATTTGCGGGTCGGGTCTCCTTCTTGAAGCTGAAGATGAGAAAACTGGGTACCCTCATTGTAGCGGGGTTACCGGAGAACCTGAGCCCTGCACAACACCCTCAAGCTTCAATCCTTTAACCCTAAACCCTAAACCCTAAAACCCTAAAGCCCTAAGCCCTAAACCCTAAACCCGAAACCCTAAACCCTAAAACCCTAAACCCTAAACCCCAAACCCTAAACCCTGAGCCTTGACCTCTACACGCTAAACCGAGGATCCAACCACACCCTCTGCTCCAAAGTGAGCAGTGACTTGCGATGGATACTGGAGCCTCGGAAGACGAAAGCTGTAGACCCTAAACCCTAAACTTTAGTGTTTAGGGTTTGGGGCTTAGGGTTTAGGGTTTGGGGTTTAGGGTTTAGGGCCTAAGCCCTAAACCCGTAAAGAACCTCGCGCGTTTGGGATTTCAGAAGAGGGTCTGGGGTTTAGGGCCCAGGGGTGTTCGACTCGGAAGAACGAGCTGAGAGTACAACGTTGGATCCCCAAGCGTCGCCGATGATCCTAAGAGTAACCCTAGAAGAAGCCCTTTCTGTGAACCTGATCGTAGCCCTTGTAGATGAGCTTTGCATCCCCTAAACCCTAAATCCTAAACCCTAAACCCTAAACCCTCCTGCCAAGAAGCTGCTCCCTCCTGGAGATCGTTTTGCAGTTGCGCTGGGGCACTATGCCCTCTTCTGGATCCAGTGGGCCAATTACAGGCCCAAGCATGCAGCAGCACACTACCCAGGCCTTTCTCGGTGTTCGAAGGGCTTTAGGGTTCAGCCTCGAGTCTGGGGTTCAGGGTTCAGGGTTTAGTTATAGGATCCTTAAGGGAGGGTGGCTCAAGGAGGGAGGGTCCTAGCGAGCCTTAGGGAACCCAAGGGAGTACTAGGGAGAATTGGGGATTACTGGGTTCTATACCCCCCCCTTAGAACCCCGTCCCTTAAGGATTCCATAATTTAGGGTTTAAACTTTCAAGTTCAGTGTCTACGTGCAAGGGACTGCTAAGCGCCCGAGGGTCCGTTGGAAAGGCACCTCCTCGATCACGCAAGCCTGGTGGCTGTCACAACAAGCCCAGTTTCCTGGACTTCCAATGAGGAGAGAGAAACCATGGAGGGCACATGATGAACTTAGTATCCCTATGTTACGATGTCATCTTAAGCACCCTCAACCCCAAACCGTAAACCCTAAACCCGAAACCCTAAACCGCAAGCCCTCAAGACCCCAGGTTTGTGGGTGTACGGCAAATCTGTGAAGTCGGTTTCAACGCTGGCCACTCTGCTTGGGCCTTCCTGTCCCTGGGTTCTTATTAAGGGATTTAGGGTTTAGGGTTTAGGGTTACCATAATAAGGAAACCATACTATTTACTATAGATCCCTATTATAGTACCCTACAGTAAATCCTGAACAAGAACCCAGGTCCAGCTCACGCCAGGCTCACATGGTGTCCTTTGAGCCTCGCCGTCTCAATGGGGTTCAGGGTTTAGGGTTTGGGGTCCAGGGCTTTCTTCTGATTACTTATCAACAAATTTAAAGGGGCTTCGTCAAGAGGGAAGAAGATGCTTTAAGTGCACTCATAAGGCTACGACAGATCTGAAGCCCAGGACCTGGTGGCCACGTCCTACACCCGCGCATGCCATCGCGTGATCCGGGGCGCCTTCCCCGGGAGGCACCGCTTGGTGGAAGGACCCTCAAATCTTACGATCCCCCGCTTCGTGATGGAGAACCTGAATCACAGGTGGCATGCGGGAAAGTTACTATAGAAGCCTAACTAGTTACCTATACTATCTTGGGGGTTCCTTATCATACTTGTAAGCATTAAGGCCTTTACCCTAAACCCTAAACCCTAAACCGTGGGCCCCTCTACATTACCAGGGAGAAGTTGCTTCAACACACGTGCCGAGAGCTAATTTCGGCCGGGAGCCCGGCAGCCTGAAACCTTGGAGCTCCCACTCCACTACTGGGCTGTTCTTAAGGAAGTTAGTCTAAGTTTAGGGTTTAGGGTTTACTGTAGGGTTTAGGGTTCCACTCCACTACTGGGCTGTTCTTAAGGAAGTTAGTCTAAGTTTAGGGCTTAGGGTTTACTGTAGGGTTTAGGGTTTAGGGTTTCGGGTTTAGGGTTTAGGGTTTAGGGTTCAGTGAGTACTGTGTCAAGTTAACAAGAGCCCAGTCCAGGTGTGACTTGATCTACATCGATGGAGGGCACGACGAGGAGGAAGCGGCGTCGGACCTTCTTCACATGTCCATGCTCGCCCGAGCCGGCACGGTCCTGGTGATGGATGACGTCGGCTGTGCCTTGGAAGGAGCCCTGTGAATCAAGCCTTAGAGTCCCCCCTCTAAGTCACCTTATAAAACCTGAAGCAAGCGCCGGAGGGTCAGACACCGTGCGCCCGAGGCACGGACGATTTCTGTGATGGCCCCATGCGTGCCTGGCAGAGCTTTGTCCAGGCTCGGTCGCCCAACGACAGCAGCTCCTCAGGGCCTTAGACTTTGGGGCTGCGAGTTCAGAGCGTCGAAGGCTTCAGGTGTAGCCCAAGCCTTGAACCCCAAACTCTGAACCCTACACCCCTAAAGTCCTAAGGCCTGAACCCTAAACCCCTAAACCCTAAACCCTAAACCCTGAACCCTGAACCCTAAGCCCGAGATCTCACCGTTGTTTTAGCTTTCCTTGTGGTGCCCGAGGCTGGTAGGCTCGAGAAGTTGGCCTGCCATGCGGAGTTGGCCCGGAAGTGGTGCTACGGCCGGTACTTGCAGTAGGAGAGGGTGCCCCAGGCTACCATCACCTGGGCAGTTCTCGAAATGAGGGTCCCTTTTAGGGTCCTTTTTTATAAGGGTGCCGTACTATATTGGGGACCTAAGAAGGGACCCTAATTTAGAGAACTACCCACCTGCGTTCCCGGTAGTGTCAGTGTATCCCAAATTGCTTTGCATAGTTTAGGGTTCAGGTGATCGAGGTCTTGCGCTGCCTTCACCTTCTCAGGCACCGTAAGAGTCAGTAAAGTTATAGGATTCAGGGCTTGTTTATCTGGCGAGTGCAAACCCTACACCCCAAAGCCTGAACTCCAGACGCTATTAAAAACACGAAACCCCAAGCCTCTATACCCCTATAGATCCTGTAAAGGAAGCCTTAAGGCAACCCCTGTAGATCCCCCTCGAAGGAGCTCTAAGCCCGGACAATGAAGGCCAGGCCGGATCCTCCCCAAGTTGTTTCACCTCCAGTGGCACATTTTCCATGGGCCCTCCGCGCCATTCTGATGAAAAAAACCGCGATCTCCGAGTTTAGGGTTTAGGGTTTCGGGTTTAAGGGTTTAGGGCTTTAGGGTTTAGGGTTGAGGGTTTAGTCCGCTTTCGTTTACCGTTATTGCCGGGAGGTGAAACCTGTTCTGAGGCTCTTTGGAAGCGAAAGCTTTGCTACCATGACCTCACACCGCTTGCGGCAGCGTTGCCGGTCCCAGGGGATAAGGCCCTAAACCCTAAACCCTAATCCCTAAACCCTAATCCCTAAACCCTAAATCCTAAACCGTCGTACCCTGCAGACCGCGAGTCTGAAACTTTAGAGCCCCATCCTCAACCCACATCTCCACATCCCAAGCCGGAAGAGTGGAGGCTGCCTCGAGACATCCGTTGAGGAAAGCCCCAACTCCCTAGACCCAGAGCATAATCCGGAAGCCAAGCTCTAAATGTCGGGCTTCTCAGACTAGAGTATACCCCACAACCCTGGCTTCAATTGTCCAGGTTCCTACCGTTACAGCGCTAGAGCAACCCTAATAGTATTTATCGTAGCCCTATCCTACTTGTCAAGGTTCCTATACCAAGCCCGAAACGCCCTCCCTAACCCCTAAACCCCAAACCCCCAAACCCCTAAACCCCTAAACCCCCAAACCCCTAAACCCCTAAACCCCGAAACCCCCAAACGCCTAAACCCCTACACCCCAAAACCCCTAAACCCTAAAACCCGTAAACCCTAAACCCCTAAACCCCCTGAACCCCTAACCCCAAAACCCCAAAAAACCCTAAACCCCTAAACCCCCCAAACCCCTAAACCCCAAAACCTCTTCCTTGACAGGAGGTTTCAAGTTGGAGAGGACTCGGCTTTGGCGCCGCGAGGCTGGTGGGAACCCACGGATCGCACAATTTGGGGTTAAAGGTTTAGGGTTTAGGGTTTAAGGTTTAGGGTTTAGGGTTTAGGGTTTAGGATTTAGAAGTTAGGGGTTAGGAATTAGAATTTAGGATTTTAGGTGTAGGGTTTAGGTTTTAGGATTTAGGGTTTAGGGTTTAGAGTTTAGGGTTTTGACGTCGGAAGAGTTACCAAAGGCGACCCCATGATAGCATCGTCTACTACCGCTTGAATTGAAGGGACCGTATTATAGTTATAGAATCCTGCGCTACCCGTTAATAGCATCCCCTTAGAGTTCCTGTGCTATAATAGTCCAAAATATGAGCTCATAGATTAGCAAGATTAGCAAGTTTCACTTTGGTTCGATTTCGATAGGGCCCCGCACGGTTCATATGAAGGAGTGTTTAGGGCTGAGCTCCTACATCCAGGAATATGGCTTAATTCGAGTTCAAACATTATACGAACTATTCAGAAGCCTTCGATAGTTTAAGGAATATTCCCTCGTTTAAAGCTGCCGGGATCTCTCAAACATGTATGGAAAACACGCTACTACTAGAACCCTTCTACGAACCCTTCAATGAACCCGGTTCTAACTCTGAAGGCTCCACACTCCCACATTGGGAAATACAGCAATGCAGCCTAAAGAGCCGCTTGGCGGAGCCTACACCTGGAATGCAAAACGCCGCTAAACCCTAAACCCTAAACCCTAAATCCAAAACCCTAAACCCTAAACCTAAACCCTAAACCCTAAGCCTTAAGCCTTCATAGAACCGAAGAGTTTCTCAACTCGAGAAGCCCAGCAGGTCCTGGATCGGAATATCACTTTCGGCAGCTTGGCCGCAGGAGGACGAAGGCTTTCGGAGCCGAATCTGAGGCTCCAAGCAGATCCCTTGATAGTTGTTCTAATGATAGTCTTAATGCTCCTTAAACCCAAAACCCTAAACCCCCTAAACCCTGAACCCTCTAAACCCGAAACCCTGAACCCTAAACCCTAAACCCTAAAGCATGGAGAACAGCAAGGCTCGTACGTCTCGTGATCCTGAGACCCCCAAACTCCCTCTGCAGGGTGCCACAGGGCTCTACAATAGGGTCCCTTCAAAGGGTACTGTAGGGTTCTATAATCGGGTCCTCTTACAGGGATTCCCACATTGTTTCGAAGATCCGGACGTCATCTTCGGGACACGCAAGTCTTCCGGGGTTTGGGGTTCAGGGTTGAGGGTTTAGGTACAGATCTGCAGAAGCTCCTATGTTAGGGTTTGGAGTTTCGTGTTTAGGGCTTAGGTGGAGCTCTACATAAGCTCCTACATTAGGGTTTAGGGTTTAGGTAGAGACGTACGGGAGCTCTGGTATGTCAAGGGTGCAACGCCGCAGCGCAAGCTTCGAAGCCCGAGCCCCAAGCTCCGATACCCAAAGCGGTACACCCACAAAGCCGAAACCCTAAACCCTAAACCCTATAAGCCCTAAAGCCCTACACCCCAACTCCTAAGCCGCAGGCCAACTTCCAAGTCTGAAGGCATTCTCTGCCAGGCTTTGCCAAGGGTTTAGGGTTTAGGGTTTAGGGTTTAGTGGCGGAAGTTGAATAACGCCCACGAAACACTAGGATGCCTTGATGCACCAGAACGGCTGATGTTGATGCCTCCTTCTATACTAGCGTTGAGACGGCCCTACTGGTATCGGTTGGGTTTTCGCTTTCGGGCTTGATGTGGTTGGATGCTGCGGAGATTGATTTGCCCAGGTGCTTGCATCATCCTCATTGAGAATGTGGTGCTATCCTTCCAAACACTGGTGCATTGGTGGCAGTGCTCGAAGGGCGGTGCTTCATGCGCTGTGCCCTTAGCGCCAGAATCCTAAAGCCTCAGTTAAGCACTGCTGAAGCCTTAAATCCAAAATTCGTAATCCACATCCTGAGTCCTAAACCCATCAAGTCAAGCTGTTAACTCTGACAGGGGTTCTACCCATGAGATGTGTGCCACACACCATTTCCTGGAGCATAGTCCTTTTAGGGGCTTTCGAGTTCGGGGTTGCGCGAAGACCCCCAAAAGTAGGCTAAAACAAAAGGCTATTATTCTACATGATTTTTTTGGTCCGGTCTAATGTAGAGGCCAACGCGACTTGTGTAGGGTCTGGGGGTCTCTCTTGCAGCGGGGTAGGGGATGTAAGCAGTTCAGGGATGTAAGCTTTTGGGCGGCGGTTCTAACCTTAAACCCTAAACCCTAAACCCGAAACCCTAAACCCCAAGCCCTAAGACTAAGCTCTATAACTCCTGCGATGCGACACTCCAGTCTGCAGCACGAGGACGAAACCCCAAACCCTAAACCCCCAAACCCTAGCCCCTAAACCCTAAAGCCTAAATCCTAAACCCCCAAACCCTACACCCCGAAACCCTGAACCCCAAAGCCCCGACGTAGTGCTTACTTAAGGCAAGGCTCCGAGGGCTTGGGGTTGTGAGAAAAGGCTTTAAAGGGTTTGGGGGTTTTAGGGGTTTAAGCAGTGCTTAAGGGTTTTAGGGTTTAGGGGTTGTAGGGGTTTAAGCAGTGCTGAAGGGTTTTAGGGTTTAGGGGTTTTAGGGGTTTCAGCAGTGCTTAAGGGTTTTAGGGTTTAGGGGTTTTAGGGGTTTAAGCAGTGCTTAAGGGTTTTAGGGTTTAGGGGTTGTAGGGGTTTAAGCAGTGCTGAAGGGTTTTAGGGTTTAGGGGTTTTAGGGGTTTCAGCAGTGCTTAAAGGTTTTAGGGTTTAGGGGTTTTAGGGGTTTAAGCAGTGCTTAAGGGTTTTAGGGTTTAGGGGTTGTAGAGGTTTAAGCAGTGCTTAAGGGTTTTAGGGTTTAGGGGTTTTAGGGGTTTCTGCAGTGCTTAAGGGTTTTAGGGTTTAGGGGTTTTAGGGGTTTAAGCAGT